CCTGGGAGCGCGGAATCCCCCGGGATCTGGACCGCGCACCAGCGTCCCGGCGGGTTGGGCGACCGCGGGCGGCGAGGGATGCGCCCCCACCCCCGGCCGCCGCCGCCCGGCCCGAACCCCTGCGGTCTCGGCCGAGGAAGTCTGGCCTCCCCGGCTCGGTCGCTTTTGCACCTGCCGCCCTGGGCGTCGCTCCCGGATCACGGGGGCGCTTTGCAGAGGGGACCGCGTCAAGCTGCGGTTGGGGGGTGGGTGCGCGGGGCGCGGCGGGCTGGGGAGAAACCCCAGCTGGGCGTCAGCGCCCGGCAAATCAGCGAAGCGCTGGGCGGGTCCCCTGCCCAGCTAGTGAAATACCGAGGACCGTGATCACGTGGATCGTAAGAGTAATGACTGGGCTCGAACGCCCACCCCCGGGTTCTGCACACTTTATCGCGCCCTGTCACCTGGCGGGCCCCTCCTAGAACGCCGGCTGCGGGGTCCACCCCAGAGTTTCTGATTCAGTGAAGTCTGGTGGGAGGTGCGAGAACAAGCGTTTCCAAGTGAAGTCCCAGTCGTTGGTGGACGCAGCCCTCCCTGATCGGTACCCGCTCGGTGGACCTCGTCTCCTACTTCCCTCGGGCTTCAGCGGCAAACCGCTCACCAGCCTCAAGTCTCCTGTGCTAGCGTTCTCGCCTTACCCACCTGCCACTCCCTAGTCTCTTCGGGTCTTGATTCAAATTCACGTTCTTGGGGAGGCCAGTCGTGGCTAACCCATTCTATTTAAAAATTTTTTAATGCTTGTTTACTTTCTGAAAGAGAGAGAGCGTGTGTGGATGGGGGAGGGGCAGAGGGAGAGGGAGACACGGAATCCGAAACAGGCTCCAGGCTCTGAGCTGTCAGCACAGAGCCCAACGCGGGGCTCGAACTCACGTACTGTGAGATCGTGACCTGAGCTGAAGTCGGACGCTCAATCCACTGAGCCACCCAGGCACCCCATTGGCTAGCCCATCCTAATATTGAAGCTTCCTCTTCCCTCACCCGACTGCTCCCTGTCTCTCTCTGGCCTGCCTT